CTGAGCTGGGAGACTTCAGTAGTGGTCAGCCTGAGCTGGAAGACTTCAGTAAATGTCAGCCTGAGCTGAGAGACTTCAGTAGTGTCAACCTGAGCCGGGAGACCTTCAGTAGTGTCAACCTGAGCTGGGAGACCTTAGTAGTGTCAACCTGAAACTGGGAGACTTCATATTTTCAACCTGAGGGTGGGAGACTTCAGTTTGGTGTCAACCTGAGCTGGGAGACTTCAGTAGTGTCAACCTGAGCTGGGAGACTTCAGTAGTGTCAACCTGAGCTGAGAGACTTCAGTAGTGTCATCCTGAGCTGAGAGACTTCAGTAGTGTCAGCCTGAGCTGGGAGACTTCAGTAGTGTCAGCCTGAGCTGAGAGACTTCAGTAGTGTCAACCTGAGCTGGGAGACTTCAGTAGTGTCAAGCTGAGGTGGGAGACTTCAGTATTGGTCATCCTGAGCTGAGAGACTTTAGTGTGTCAGCCTGAGCTGGGAGACCCTTTAGTAGTGTCAGCCTGAGCTGAGAGACTTCAGTAGTGTCAGCCTGAGCTGTGAGACTTCAGTAGTGTCATCCTGAGCTGAGAGACTTCAGTAGTGTCAGCCTGAGCTGGGAGACTTCAGTAGTGTCAGCCTGAGCTGGGAGACTTCAGTAGTGTCATCCTGAGCTGAGAGACTTCAGTAGTGTCAGCCTGAGCTGGGAGACTTCAGTAGTGTCAACCTGAGCTGGGAGACCCTTTAGTTTGTGTCATCCTGAGCTGAGAGACTTCAGTAGTGTCAGCCTGAGCTGGGAGACTTCAGTAGTGTCAGCCTGAGCTGGGAGACTTCAGTAGTGTCAACCTGAGGTGGGAGACTTCAGTAGTGTCAACCTGAGCTGGGAGACTTCAGTAGTGTCAACCTGAGCTGAGAGACTTCAGTAGTGTCAACCCCGAGCTGAAGACTTCAGTAGTGTCAACCTGAGCTGAAAACTTCAGTAGTGTCAGCCTGAGCTGGGAGACTTCAGTAGTGTCAACCTGAGCTGAGAGACTTCAGTAGTGTCAACCTGAGCTGAGAGACTTCAGTAGTGTCAACCTGAGCTGAGAGACTTTTAGTAGTGTCCCAAACCCGAGCTGAGAGACTTCAGTAGTTCAACCTGAGCTGAAGGAAATTCAGTAGTGTCACCTGAGCTGGGAGACTTCAGTAGTGTCAACCTGAGCTGAGAGACTTCAGTAGTGTCAACCTGAGCTGAGAGACTTCAGTAGTGTCAGCCTGAGCTGGGAGACTTCAGTAGTGTCAGTGAGGATATCGTTAAAGATACATCATCTACGGCAACCTCAAAAGTCTGGTTCCAGTAGAGCTGAAGTTACTATGACTTGAAAATTACCATGAGTGAGAGAAGGGAGGGAGGGGAAGAGAGGTTAGGGGAGCGGTTGGGAAGGGAAGGGAGGGAGGGGTTGACAATAATACGGAAGCCGCCGGTAATGCGCGATCCTCTCTGCTTCGTAAGTATTTATTATGATTTGAGTCAGATTTATTGGTAATACGTGAGGTGTTTGGTGTATTGGTGTTAATGCGTGCTGATTGGTCACTCGCGTCGTCTCTCTATCTCATGTCTAGACCAATGATTACCTTCCTTTCACGTCACGCTCACTTCACCTCCAGCCAATAGGAAGGTTGTGTTTATTCTACCATCTTGTTCATTACTCGCCGCCGTCTGATTTAAGAAATATTGATGTTTGTCAATTAATTTGGCATTCTTAATTTTCTTAAAAAAAAAAATTGAATTTAATATTGAAACGTGTATTTTTTTTTGTCATGTTGTGTGTGTGTGTTGGTGGGGGTGTGTGTTGTGTGTGTGTGTGTTGTGTGGGGTGTGTGTGTGTGTGTGTGTGTGTTTTTTTGTGTGTGTACATTCTGATTTGTGCTGGCTGATTTGTGTTTGCATGGGTCGCTTCCTGGCTCCACCTCTTTACATTCGACTGCAAGCATAATTGACTTTTGTGGTCTGTGTTGTGTCATACCTACTCTTAAAACTTTGTGTGTTGAGTGTACCTCCACCACCTCCAGGTTACTGTACTTCCATGCTTGCTGCTCTCAGAGTGCAACACCAGGCTCAGCCAGCTTCCCTGTGACTCATCTATTTCCCTCTCTCCGTGTTCCTTGTTACTGGTTATAGTATCTGTGTTCCTTGTTACTAGTTATTTCTGAAGTTCACTTGCCAGTACCTCCGCCAGGTGTTGAATCAACCAAGCTGTGATGAATTTGTGGGGCAGCAGGCCGCCAGCAGCAACAGCCTAGTTGACCAGGCAAGCACCATACAAGCTTGACCCTGGGCCGGGCTGCGACAGTAGGAAAACTCTCGAAACCTATCAGAAGTATTTCAGAGGTAAAGGTACACACATGATGTTTTCGCTCGGTGATGTGTTAGGTGTGATGTTTACTTCCAGATCCTTTTTTCCGCGTGTGTGTGTGTGTATATATATATATATATATATATATATATATTATATATATATATATATATATATATAATATATATATATATATATATTTTTTTTTTTTTTTTTTTTTTTCAACAAGTCGGCCGTCTCCCACCGAGGCAGGGTGACCCAAAAAAGAAAGAAAATCCCCAAAAAGAAAATACTTTCATCATCATTCAACACTTTCACCACACTCGCACATTATCACTGTTTTTGCAGAGGTGCTCAGAATACAACAGTCTAGAAGCATAAACATATAAAGATACACAACATATCCCTCCAAACTGCCAATATCCCAAACCCCTCCTTTAAAGTGCAGGCATTGTACTTCCCATTTCCAGGACTCAAGTCCGACTATATGAAAATAACCGGTTTCCCTGAATCCCTTCACTAAATATTACCCTGCTCACACTCCAACAGATCGTCAGGTCCCAAGTACCATTCGTCTCCATTCACTCCTATCTAACACGCTCACGCACGCTTGCTGGAAGTCCAAGCCCCTTACCCACAAAACCTCCTTTACCCCCTCTCTCCAACCCTTTCGAGGACGACCCTACCCCGCCTTCCTTCCCCTATAGATTTATAATATATATATATATATATATATATATATATATATATATATATATATATATATATATATATATATATATATATATATATATATCGTTTCTTCTTTCTAAAGTTATTACCTTGCACTTTTTTGGGTTGTACTCAAATAACCACTTCTTTTATCACAACTCCAGACTAAGGCTCCGTGAAGTCCCTCACTGTCCTCTCATATATGTGTGCCTCTGTTAACAGGAGTGTAGAATTTGTTCCTGTCTGATAAGTTTTTTACACATATATCAGCAGCAGAAGCGTCCCCAAGTACACATCACTTGAGGGACCTCACTCGTCACCCTCGTTCATTCTAACACTTCCCGTACTGTCACTCTTCTGTCTTCCAGATAATATAGATAAGTAGTTCACAGAAGAATGGAGTCGACTAATTACATCGTCGACCGGATACCTCAAGCTCCTTCTGATCTTCAACATTCTTTGTATAGGACTGATGAAACCACTGTGTGGCTAAAAGTTTCCACAGTAAAGATACCCAAGTGTTCCACATGTGTCTAATCATCAGCTCGCCGATACTTCTTCATCTACTGCAGGACTTTCCCTTTCACCCATGCTTGCTTCTATAGCATGTGAATCCCCTTCACCGCGTCTTTCTTTCTCTATCTTCTACCCTACTTTCATTCTTTTCATCCTCTTGGTTCTTTTTACCTTATCCTCCCTCCCCTTGACTCCTTCCTTTCACTCCCTGAAGAGTGAAACATACTTACACCTCACAAGATTGAACGGCGTAAAATCACTTCATCATTGTGACTAATCAGTGTGAGAAGCGTGCATGTGTGTCAAGTGAGCTGCGTCTCAGGCAAATGATGCTGTAGCCTCTCTCAGCAGGGATGTGTCAGATGCTGTCCTGCAGTCTTCAGAGATGCCTCCACTCCATCCCTGTCTACCCTATCATATAAGTCCCGTAGGTTCACCTGTGAGTGCATGATTGTGTGCTGCATAATTCAGTGTGTGTGTGTGTGTGTGTGTGTGTGTGTGTACAAACCAAATTGTACTCGGAGTTGTCTGTACGCGAAACTAGACACTGCTCTTGACCCCGCCTTTATAATTGACCCCGAGCCTACAAAACTGTACCAGACGCTCATGTAAGACCCGTTCCTAGTGTATGTTAATGAGGCTCGTACAGAGATATACACCAGTATACCTGCGTTCTAAGATGGTGACTTACAGGATGATACAGGCGGAGGGTTTGTACTGTATTTCATGAAACGCTAAACCCGTATGAGTCATTCAGCTCGAGGAGTAGCGGAGTAGTGGGGGAAGAAAGAATAGTGGAAAAGGTAGGGAGTGGAGTAGTGAACGGGGGGTGGATAGGGGGGTGTGGAGGAATGGACGGGGAGTTGGGGTGGATAGGGGGGTGTGGAGGGAGGGAAGGGGAGTTGGGGTGGAGAGGGGGTGTGGAGGGATGGACGGGGAGTTGGGGTGGTTAGGGGGTTTGGAGGGATGGACGGGGAGTTGGGGTGGATAGACGGTGTAGAGGAATGGAAGGGGGGGTGGGGTGGATAGGGGGTGTGGAAGGATGGATGGGGTGTTGGGGTGGATAGGGAGTGTGGAGTTGTTGGTTCTTGGGGTGTGGGTGTTTAGATATGGGAGCTGGGGGGTTGCTTGTGTGGGGTAAGAGGTTCAGGTGTAGGGTGGGGAGTACGGGTGTGGGAGAGGGGTCTCAGGTGTGGAGGGATCTTAGGGTGGGGGTACAGGTATGGAGGGAGCGTGGAATAAGGCGTATAGGTGTGGAGGGAGCGTGGGAGAGGGAGTACGGGTGTGGAGGGATCATGGGAGAGGGGGTACAGGTGTGTGAGTGGGGGTACAGATGTGGGGGAAGGGGGGAATGTTAGCCACTTTCGCTGTTGGTGGGTTGCCTGAGGCGGGCGACCTCCAGGATGGCTCGTTTCCCCCTCCTCCTCCCCCACCATCTTCCCCTCCCCAGCCACCACCACCACCTCCCACAGCCACAGTTGCAGGACTTTAGTTGTGTGTCAGGCGTCACTCAGGGTGGATGCAGGCGGGTCTCTCTCCAGTGATCTATCACGTGACTCAACCACCCTCCACCTCCATCAATCCTCCACTTAGGAGTCACTCACATCTGGTGGCGCAACAGAAGGGACTGATGGGGAGAGCGTAACAACACTGTGGTGTGTCCTAAGGTGGAGATCATTATCTGGAGGGCGTTCAAGTCACCAGTATCCTGCTACTGTTACTCTAGTGAGCCTGACGTTCGTGATCCTTCTGATACTCTAGTGAGCCTGGCGTTCGTGATCCTTCTGATACTCTAGTGAGTCTGATGTCCGTAAGCCTTTTGATACTCTAGTGAGCCTGACGTTCGTAACCCTTCTGATACTCTAGTGAGCTTGGCGTTCGTAATCTTTCTGATACTCTAGTGAGCTTGGCGTTCGTGATCCTGCTACTGATATTCAAGTGAGCCTGGCGTTCGTGATCCTGCTACTGATACTCTAGTGAGCCTGGCGTTCGTGATCCTGGCGCTACGTCATGGACCAGCATGTGCAGAGTGAAGTAGATGAGAGTGGTCGAGGAGGGTAGTAAGATGGTGGTAGTGTGGGGGTGAGGAAGGGCATGCTACGAGGCGGGGGCTTGTGCCTGGCGGGGCCGGGGGACCCTTCCCTCAACAAGGTCTCGCCCAGGATCAGGGCTCTGCAGGACCGCCTCATGGACTCCCTGCCGTCTGAGGGCGCCTGGGAGTGCCTCTCCCCGGCCCAGCGGGAGGCTATCCTCTCCATCCACCGCTCCCGCACCGCCTCCACCGATGACTCTAGCGAGCACGGGGAGGGAGGCAGACACAGCGGTCTACGTAAGCCTGCCCGTCTCCACGCCGTCCCACGCTTCGCCAGGAGTCGTAGCTATGACGACCGTCTGGAGAGCGAAACTGACGACTCTGGCGTACGTGGTGTCAATGGCACCAGTAGCGGTGCCAACAGTCACAATAGTCTGGAGGATGACTCTAGCGACACGGGTTTCAAGCGCGGCCCGGGACGCTTCGCCAAGGTCGCTGCCGTCGACCGAGCCGCTAAGCGCGACGGTAAAAATGACATGCACGACATGAACAATGGAAAAAATATCCGCAAGGCGGATATAGTCACGAACGGGTTTGGTAACGTCAACAAAATCATCTCTAAGCAAATGAATAAGTGTTCAGGCATGGTCAGTGGACCTTCCAACATCACTTTAGACTGTCGTAACGTGCACGGTGAGAAACGACGACGGTCGCGTATTGACGTGGATGACCCGTTCAGAGAGTGTAGTGTGGAGAGCAGCCTAGAGGCCATCCATGAGCACGAGCCATCTAGAAGGAACGGCGCGAGTGACTCTCAACAAACCAGATTAGGACTCGGCAAAAAGAACGGGTTGACAGAAAACTTTGAAAGTGAAACGAAACTTCATTCGCTGAAAGAAACTGCCTCATCTGAGGAGTATGACAGTGGTGTGAACTTTAAGAACGACGACAGTATGGATGAATATGTTAGAGACAGACAAAACGGTGGCTGTGAGTTTAACAGTAATTTAGAGAGTGATCGAACCCCGAGAAGTGACACGAGTACCTCGTCTACAACACCGCACAAACGGGATCGCTCCTTAGAGCGTTTGCGGTCAAAAGGTGAAGACCCGACCCCAAGAAAGCTCTCAGGTGAGCGGAACCTCCCTTGCTGGGATCGCTCGCTCGACAAGTTGGACAAAAGCAGGTCACAGGAGAGAGAGGGAAGGTCAGGTCTCACTCATTCATTAGATAAACAGGTCTCCCCTGATCGCCCCAAATCCGCTAAATCAATCGGAGAACCGCTCAAGAGCAACCTCAAGGTCGGCTATGGTGCCAAACTTAATTCCTCGTTCGACTATCGCACTAATCTAAACCAGGATCAGCTTAATAAGTATAGTAGCAACTGGAATAACATTATCCTCAGTAAGGACATCCCAATCAAGTCTTCTAGTGCCATTGCTGTGCCCCAGGCTGTTGCCAATGGTCGAGAGTCGCGCTTCGCCAAGAACCCATCTGGAGTGGTGGCTTCCCGCAGCGCTGGTCACCTGGCTAACAAGACTGCTGTTGCCGCTCAAAAGAAGGCCGACCCCGTTAACTGGGCAGTAGTGGGTGACTCGAGAAAGATTTCCAGCTCGAGCCAGGACCGAGGTGCTTCAAAAAAATATTTGCGAAGCAAAAGTCTCGATCGCAAGTACCTGGAAGATGATTCCAGCGACGAAGATAGTGACTTCGAAACTCGCCGCAGGACAGACCGCGTAAGGCGGTACCAGCGGGCCAGTCAAGACTGGGAGATGGGTCGCTTACGGGGTGGCGACGACAGAGGTAGACAGAGAGGCAAGGATATGACAGATTTCAAGCCACTGAAGCGTAACCCTCCAGTCAGCGGTCAACCCATTAAGGCAAGGAGTGTATGGGACCTCTCTGGATACTTGAAGAAGACTCATGATGATGAATTTGACGATTTTGACGATGTTGGCTTCCGAACGCGGAGTGACTTTCGCAATAGGTGGCAGAGCGAAGGTGACGACGTGACCTGCCTGAGGAAGCTGAGTGACAACACCGAGTTCAACCATAAACAATGGAACAGGCGGAGTTGCGACTTTGAGTTAGAGTTCCAGAACGAGGACTCTGACCGCAGATCTTGGGACAAAGCAGACATTGACCGCAAGAGGTGGTATCGCCGTAGCTGCGACCTAGACCTGGATTTTGAATTCCACAATCGACAACGTCGAGAAGTAGAGTTCGACACGGCATGGGGCCAGGAGACCTTAGAGGACTGTGACGAATATGACCCGGAACTCGTAGAAGCTAAAGGGAAGAGGAGCCGCGCATGCGTAGAGGACTTTATGGTGTGTGACAGTCGAAGAGGCCAAGACGATAAGGGTCGCAGAACTCGTCTGGACGATGTGAATGACCTCCGACTACACCTCGAGGACGACCAAGAACGTCGCACTCGACTCGAGGATCACTATCGTTCCAAGACCAGCATGGGCTCACACGCGCGAGACAAACGGGAGAGAAGTCGCACGCCTCATCTTCTCCGCGGTAAGCTACGTCTACTAAAGTCCATCCTCTCCTTCTGAGTGTTGCTGCTGCTACTGCTACTACTACTACTACTACTGCTGCTGGTAACGGTGCTATTACTGCTGCTGCTCCTGCTCCCTTGTAAACACTTACTCCGCTCTTCTGGGTGTCTGGCAAGACTTCCCAACACTCTCGAAACTGTGACTAAGTCCACCACCAAAGGCTTGCAGCTATACAACTTTGCACCTGCTGCGGGATACTGGTTTACAAGACCATTTCGGCAACATATTCTGCTGTGCTTTTTTTTTCCTGTGGGAGCTTTTGAATTGAATTTGGCCACACTGCTATTTCGGGAACTATGCCAAGATTTGTTGAAGCTTGAAGGAGCTCACTCTGCTTGCTTCTTTTTCCTGCGGTTGTAGCCCCAGACCTCTGCTCCTGCTGTAGCTTCGAGACCTCTGCTTCTGCTGTAGCCTCAAGACCTCTGCTCCTGATGTAGCCTCCAGACCTCTGCTCCTGTTGATGTAACTACCACATATCTCTGCTACTCCTTGCTACTGTGGTTGTTACTAAATCTGCAGCTGCTGTCACTGCAGTAGCTACCAAACGTCTGCTGCTGTTGCTGCAGTAGCTACCAAACTTCTTGTGCTGGTGCTGTAGTTACGAAGCTTCTGCTGCTGTAGCAGCTACTAAACTTGCTACTGTAGCTACCATTTCTCTGCTGCTTCGGGGTGAAGGGAAATATCTCTTCTGTATTTGACAGAAGAAGTGAAGATTTCCGTGTGTAATAAAATGTGTATCAAGCGTGTAAACGCATTGTTTACGAAGGAACGTAAGAGAGTTGTTTACTCAGTGTTTACATTTCTTGTATAAATGAGTGTGTGTTTTTTTTACATAAATATGTACGTCGTTTGTTCAAATATATAAAAATATAGTGTTTTGAAGATGTATTTAAAAGAGCTTTTTGTGTGTGTGGATTTATTGTTAAACAGAGACCAGCTGTTAATTTTATGGCATAGTGAGGTGTAAATAACGTCAGGGTAATACAGATTACACATGTAAGAAGACACTCATGTATACTTCAGGACATGTATTAAAGCGAACGTTTCGCCACTAGTGGTTTAAGTCTTCATGGAGTGACAAAGTGTGTCTCAGTCTTAATAGACTGAGAAAGTCACTCGTGGCGAACTGTTTCCTGTAATGTCATCTCCCACGTGTAATTAACATCATCTTGCAGTTAATATGTAATCTAATATACATAAATGAATAATTCCTTTATGAAAATATTCTTTTTGTTGCTTTCAAGTGTTTGGTAGTTTCCAAGTCACACTTTGGCAGCAACAATGACGGGGAAAACATTGAACTTTGATATGTACTGACACTTGTGTGCTCCCCCCCCCCCCGAATAAAAAAAAAATCCACGTCACTCGTGAAGGAATAAAATAATTGCCAGTCAGTCTGGATTCGGTCTAGTGAAAGTGATTTATGAAGAGGAAACTAGCCGGGACGCAAGGCTGAATCTCGCCTGGAATTGCTGAAGAAAATGATATTTTCTTACCGTAGGAAATAGAGTGGATGACTGTTGTTGGTTCGTGTTGTTGAAGGTGATTTATCTGAACCAAATTTTGAGATACACTCAGAATTCTGCCTCTTGGAAAGTGGTGACAGTTATTTTAAGTTTAAGTGAATGTAAACGATACCACCGGTAATACTTGTATGTCACAAAGTTAAAGTTAATTAATGGAGTTTGTATCGATGCCTGGGCCTTGAAAGACCATGTTTGGCAGGTGTTGTCAGTCTCTTGTAAATCAAAACAATCATTGTATCTTTTGTCATTGTCATTTTATCATAATCTCAAGAGAAAATATTTTCATTATACACACACACACACACACACACACACACACACACACACACACACAC